CAAAACTTTATTCCTGTAGGCGCTCTCATAAGCTCTTATAATCGAGAAATACCAAGTTTTACATGAAAAACTCGAGAATAGTGGCATTTTGGCATTTTGGGGTCATCCTTGTTTATCAATTTTGAGCTCCGGAAAAAATCAACTAAAAACATTTTTCGGTACTACTATGTGCCTATTATATAATGACCAAGTTGGAAAACCGTAGGAATGGAAGGAGATTCGATTTTTAGGGTAGCTGAAAAATGCATTTTTGGATCCAAGTTTTACCTGGATCGCGACTTAGACAGTTCTTTGATGGTCATTTTGTAGAGCTTGCTTCGCTCTATCGAATGGTGACCCCAAATCTCCCAGGAAAACAAATACAATTTGATTTATACAAAAATATGGTCTACTTTTGGGACAACCTAATAAAAAACTTGACCTGAAGGAGGCATTGTGGAGATTTCCTCGCAAGAACATATTCCTAGGGTAAGAACGTTTTGAGCCTGAAATCTCGTTACATTAAGAAATCTATTGAATTTTGATATGGTTTAAAAAATGCAAGAGAAGCACTTTCTAATGATGCCAACAATACCGCATTAGAGATAAAATTCTCTAAGAACAGCTGCTTCAACACAAGGCAAAAAAAATCGGACAGAACTTATGCAGCAGCCTAATATAGGCGGAAGGCTAGTAGCAAGCAAGATTGGTATACTGACAAGTGCAGCACGCCAATATGCTAAGAACTGTATAGACAAGGTCTTAGTAGTTGTTGTCTTTAACTGCCCCGCTTGAGATTTGCGCGCTGTTTAGCAACAGAATGAGTCGGTCCTTTTATCAAGCGAATGGATAGGTTCTTATAAGTGGTGTAGATGTAAGAGTACAAGCTCTGGTCAATCTTTCACGCTTTCCCAAAAATTTTTGGAGTGGGGGATTCTAAATTGTACCAAACCGAAAACATCTACGGACATGGTAGAAGTGCTTTATCCTTTTTTATAGCGCCTCCTTAGATAAGGAAACTACATTTATACGCATCATGTTTCCGTAAACAGTTTTTCATCAATTATAACAACTTTGGATGAAAAACTCCCATTATGACTCCGCATTTGGATCGAGATTTGCAGGTGCCGAATTCGCCAATATTTGCGCCTTAAAAACTTTGCTTCAAAAAGTCATAAAACAGGGAGATCTAGGTTTGCTCCAAGAACGAACACAGTTCTGGTAGAGCAAGATTAGCTCTTTTGAACGTTACGGGTGCTTTGCCGTAAACCAACGGTCATCAAAAAATGGCTTTCAAAATAAAAACTCTACAAACTTATAAAACAACTTAATATTTATGCAAGCTTTCATCACTCAGCTTTATCAAGGCAGCGTATAAAGAAGTTAGTGCATTACCTATATTGAAGAGACTTGCATACTTTTTAACGAGGCTCTATCCACTCGCGCTTTTTCATTTAAAAAAAAGCGCATTACATCTCAGTAGTTTCAGCTGAAGCGACGGGTGAGTATGAAGAAACACTTGCGTAAAGAAACAAGCATTTTGCAAAATTTCTCAAGTTGGAAATCATAAACCTATAGTTGAAGACTGACATCCTCATACGCTGTGGCTCAGTTTGTTATATCACTATGACTTCGCGGATGCTGGGATTTTAAACAACATGATTGAACTTGGCTGATTATGTGAATTGAATGATACGATATATTTTGACTAGTAAGGTTCAGGAATATTCTATAAAATGAAATTTTATGAATTTTCCTGACCATTCAAAAAAAAGCAGTGAAACCTTTCAAAACGAAAACCTACTCCACAAATATCATTTTCCGCCGACCCACGGGGCCAAAATCCGTTGAGTGCAACGCTATCTTCCCTCATCCGGACTAAAGGCCCAGTTGGCCGCTAGGAAGGTTCAGGAATATTCCAAAAAATGACAGTTTATGAATTTTCCTGACCTTTCAAAAAAAAGATGTGGATCGTTTCAAAACCAAACTCCACTTCACAAATATCATTTTCGGCCGACCCTCGGGGCCAAAATCCTTTGAATGCAACCCTATCTCCCCTCAAAACCTGCTGACTGCAGGCTCAGTTTGCCGCTTCAGCAATATTCGAATGAACGAGTTTTTCGCGGATTTCTCTGACGTTTTAGAAAAAAGGGGATGGAAAGTTACTGATGAGGCTCCACTACACAAAACGTTGAATCTGGATGCTCACGAACTATAACTCCCTCGAAAAATTTGATCGAATGCTCAGTTTATCGCTAGAAAAACAAAATCAGATTGTCAGCAATATCTCAAAATATGAGTTTTTCGTGGTTACATATGGGATTTGAGCGGAACCGAGAATGAAACTTTCAAAATGAGGCTCCACTTGAGAGAGCCGATTTTTGCCGCCCATCCAAACCAAGAAAAATTGAATGCTCAGTCTTTCGCTGGAGAAGTCAAATTTTTAGCATAGTTGTTCTGTAGGACAGAGTTAGTGGGTATTTTGTTGATATTTGTGCGGAAGGCTCTGCTCCATAGAACTTAATTTTTTGTGAAAAAATGTCACATGAAGAATCAAATAAAAGCCCAAGTGAGCCATTAAGTAATAAAAATACTGCTTGCTTGTGTGCACGACAGTACAGAGTGACTCAAGCGATCAATAACTTTCTTCCTACCCCATCGGCGACAGCCACTGTGACAGAAACACAACAACAATCTCTCGCCCAGAATAATGACTACCTATATACCGCATACAGGTAATCGCTAATTCTAAAATGTAATGTTTTTGTGATCGCCCTTCACACATACACCCCTGTGCCAAATGGTAGCCGCTTAGCTCAATGTTAAAAAATCTCCGCTCCTTCCCGGGACCCATAGTGCAATCTTCCCGGGACCCATAGTGCAAGCAAATCTCTCGTCGATATAATGGCTACTGGCCTCTCCTCTCGCCAACACTGGGCGCCGTTATATTTTCGCATTCCTTTTTCTGGATTCCTTCAGCAACTGGACCCTCCGTCACGCTGGGGTTAAGGATAGGAGGGACGCAGAAAACTCTGCCGTCGCGCTTGAAATGATCGAATGTATATTATAGTAAGGATAAATATTCCGGCGACTTCCCTCCGAATGTGTCCGATGAAACATAGCAGCCTGTTTTGTTGGCGCAATAGGCCCTGCGAGTACACAAATCTTTGAAACCATAAAGTAAGCTCCTCTTCAAATTTTGGCATTTATACTAGGAAATAGCTCCCTAACCCTTCAGTAATTTTCTGTGCTTTTGCTACAGTCCATTCTCAGACGAAGGTTGTAGCCCAAATGTAAATCAAACGAGAACAATGCGGTGAGGTATAGTTGTGACCCTGGCGCCCAACGAACTTCCAAAAGCTGAAAGCATGTCGAATTTGTGCGAATGCACACATCATTTACATAGACCGTAAGGGGTGGACTTCGTCGTTTATAAGATTGCCTTACTTTCGGCTGAGTGCTTTTTGAGCGTCTTTCTTAGCTTTCATTCCTCTTGTTATGTGCCAAGAAAATTATGACTTCCTAATCCATGAGAACCACTGTCGACACTCAGGATGTTGTTTGCATTACATGGTGTGTGCACTCGCCCTTATTAGGTTTGGACTGTAGTTACACGATGAATTTATATCAAATACCGAGACAATTATTAGTGACTTTCGTCAATGATGTTCGAAGTGCAAGAATATATGTAATATATTCATTCAACAATGAGTATTAAGAGACATGCCAACAACGTTTCTAACATCAAATTTCCTTGCTAATGGTTGTTACCACTGCTTTTGAAATATTTTCGTTTTTGTCAGGGCCAAAAAATAGGGCCAAGACTTCCTTTCTTATTTGAGAATTGAAGCAAAGATAAGTAATTCCATGCATGCCTAAAAGGTTTGTTCACTAGTTTCCTGAACGATTATGAAAAGATTACCGTGACTTGAGTGCCAACACGTATGTGCCGTTATGATAACGCCTAAAGGAACTTCTATGAACTCTATTACCACATAGAGCAGCGCTGCACTTGCAGTTGTTATGCACACAAATAGTACTTGTATGAAGATCTGAAAAAGATGAATCACTTTCGCAAATCAATTTAATGTCGCATCTACGTTTCTTGTAAATAGTACATTAACTTGCTGGACAACTTCATCCCAACCTGTATTTGGAGCTTGTCGACTCCGTGTGAGGCAGAAGCACTAGCTTTCCTTACATAAAAACCCAGAAAGAAATAGATCGCCACTACTACGACTGCAACGCTGCCGTTATGAAATATCAAGTATGTAGAGGTGTAGTGTGAGTATTCCTGGAATCGTGCATGATGCACTCATAATAGAGCTTTTTTTAACTAACATAGCTCCACACCAATGAAGTGTTAAGAATCATGGTATGGTTAAGCAGCCAACTATTGCAATAGTCATCTTAAGTTTTCGATGGTAAGGCAAGGGACGTGTCGAATTTTTTTATCCAGTTGGACGTTTTTAAGTACAGTGTTGGCATGATTTGGAGCTGTTTGAATTGCTATTTGACGGTTTAACGGATTTTGATGGAAAACTACAGAAGCGTTCACAACTTTGAAATCAGTTGATTTTGAGATGGTTCCGACATGCAACACTTATATTTTGAAATTATTAGGTTGATGCAAAAATAATAACCGTTTTTGCAGGCCTTTTTACAGGACAGCTTTTTAGTCTCTACCGCACTTGAAAATCTGGCTTTTCAAAAGAGTTATAGCAAGTCAGAGTGAGAAGTCACAAAAGGGCCACTATTTCTGCATCAACCTAACATGATAATACCACTGAACAACCCATGCGGCCATCTAGTACATCTCCTTATAAATCTAAGACGCTCTGAAGCATTGCAAAACACAAAATATATGCTTGTTTGATGGGTGGCTGATAGACTCGCTTCTCTTGGCATACACTTAACTGTCCCTAAACATAGAACAAGATCCTTCCTGAACTTATTTGAGAAGTTGAAGAAGTTTAAGAGAATTATCAAGATGATTGGAGAAACCAACTTTAAGATGCTAATTATTTCCTCAAATAATACTTCAGGATCTGTTTACCACTCCTGCTTACCCATTCTGGATCTCCGATCATCGGAGTACCAAGAAAAGCAGAGACCGATGTGTTGAATGGAATTGGTCTAAGTATGAACCAGACAATTATCATATAGAATATGGAGAGGAACATCCACATATATAGGAACTTCCCTGTAAAAAGAATAGTTCGCAAAATTGAATTGTGTAATGCCATTGCCAAACCTTGGTAAAGGAAACGGAGGCCTCTGAGAGACGGAACCATTTCTACTAGTCTATTGAAAGCTAGAACTATGCAGTTGAAGGAAGCTCCAAACCATAAACCTAAAACAATGCCATTATAGACTGAAAAATGCATGCAATGGCATATGCTTTGAGCTTGAGGGCAGAACTTCCAGACTGCTTTCAGCATTTTCTTATATTCTCATTCTTACTGTAAACAAGATGTCCTGCGATCCACTCGGAGACTATAGCTGAACAAAATACTGCGCCAGTCTGAAGTTCCAACAATTATAGCTTTTAGCACTTTTACAAAACATGCTTACAAAATGGAAATAAGATGTGTAGTATGTGGTCATCATAAGATCAGCGATGTCCGCGAATCCATTGAAGAACATGAATTTGTAGCAAGAGTTTTTCAGCAGTTTTCCACGATACATTCCGACGAGGCATAGAGCGTACAGTATCTCAAAAGTAAGTCAAGATCGAGAATGTGTTCATCAACTTCAAACAAAGAACTAAGAAATCGTTGAATTGTAAATTTCAACCTGTTGATGCAGCATTAACCAAAGAAAATGTTTCAAGATTCCTATGTCAAATTCAGATCTGCTCACTATAAAGATGGTCCCAGCTATCGTAAAATAGTATGCTTGTCCAAGGTTTACGGATCCTCGGTTCTTCCATTCAGCATACGAGCGCGAACTACAATTGTACTCCGTTTCGTCTATTTTCCATGGGAGGTGAAAGTAGAAGGTGTGCATCTAAATGAAGATGTAGGTAAGTAGCAACAAGCTATTCTATAAGGTTATCATTTCAGCATCCAGAGGGACGAAAATCGAGCAAGTGTTGACCATTCCGGATGATTATTGCCAACATTTTCTTTATATACCATCCGTTCACAGCTTTTGTCACTAATCTCATGAATACAAAGGGATCTTTGTGAGATTCCTTTGACAGGACCATAAAACAGCATTTTTTCAGAGATCATCGTCAGTCTCTGGACTAAGAAGATCAAAGAAGGGTTGAGGGCATAGTTCAGTTAATAAAAAATGTTAGAGACGTCCATAAGATTGAAAGCTTTTAACCAAGGGAATGATCTTCGTACTGCAAGACGTAGCCATGAATTAGCATCGCGGGTCACTCAATTCAGACTTATTGCTGTGAATCGGCATGCCTATATCAGATTAGTATCAAAATCTTTCGAGGGGAATTTTGTACGAACATTCAGGTAACTTGGCTGAATCTGTAAATGCTCCTCAAAAACTGGTTTGAATAAGCAGGTCACTCTAAAAATGGTTGTTACCTTAGGTACAAGTGCAAATAAAACTGTGATCGGAGTCAATCGTGAGTTCAGGAACACTTGTTCAAAATTACATTCACTGCACACGGTGGGGCACTTCAGTGAGCATAAAGTTGGTAAAGGGAAGAGTTTGGAATTCTTGAATTGCTGAAACCATATTGTAGACTAGCTGGCTTACCCGGCTCCGCCGTATGTTCCGAATAGAAAATTCCATTTCTTAACCGATCCGGACCAAACTTGGCACACATACACTTCTGCCCCGGCGGGTGTCACAGTCCACTTTTCGTTATCGATCGATGTCGATGTTATCGATTTTTTGCAAAATTTGAGCTAGGGGGCTGGGAGTTGGCACAGGGGGGGGGGGTAATCGAGCATGCTGATCACCCCCGTGGGGGTGATCAGCATGCTCGATTACACCCCCCCCCCTGTGCCAACTCCCAGCCCCGTAGCTCAAATTTTGCAAAAAATCGATAAAATCGACATCAATCGATAACGAAAAGTGGACTGTGACACCCGCCGGGGCCCGAAGTGTATGTGTGCCAAGTTTGGTCCCGATCGGTTCAGTAATGGAATTTTCTATTCGGAACATACGTACACACATACAGACATACAGACATACATACATAAAGACAGACAGACAAACAGACATTCAGCTTTATATATAAGATTATTTGGTGTGCTATTCATAGCATCGTATTCATTCTTACAATGACCTTACTGGGAACGGTTTGATAGAAACGATGTCGGTTTAGCTCTCTTCTTTTCACCTCACTCGTCGTAACGATATGCTTCTTGACGAAGGAAGTACCAGACAGAATGCAGAAAGAGAGATTTCTAATTGGATTATGTCAATTCAATGATTCCTTGATTTCTAAAGATTTTTGATTGATTAGGAAGGAAGATTATTTCTGTTCCCATTTCGCCGTTTCCAGCACAATCAAACCCAAAAACATTTGCTCATTGCGCTTCAAACTAACATAGTATTTCAGTGAAGTTATTGTGACTGCCCCAGGCAGATATCAATAACTAAAATATATTTCGTAAGTTTTCAAGGTCGAAAGAAGAAGAAAATTGGAAGCTGGAAAAGTTCTTAGAACTCTTTGAGATCAAATCTGCGTCAAAGGGAGGAACGAAATGAATCCTAAGGTAATCATTATGATTTAATTTTAGCTTTTCTTGGCGTACAGCTGATGTCTGATATGTAATTTTTTCAAAGAATAATAGATGTTGATGCATGCAATTATAATTGGATGAGAGCTATGTAGCTTCTTGACTTTACAAAGCTTTCTACATGCTGATATTTTCTTATTTCTTACATTATTAACAATAGACTTATTATGTAAAAGTAATAAGCCAATGATCCCTACAATAGTTCAGCACAGTAGCTTGGATAATTTACACCAATGCCTGGCACTCCTAAGAAGATAATTTTGAAAAGAATGGTTGATTTATAGCATAGTGTGGTCATTTGTAGTAACGTGCACTTCTTTCCCTCTTTGTGCGTGGCTGATTCAATGTCAGCATTTGTAAAGCATCCTAAGACTATTCATTAATAAAGAGGTATTTTGGCCGAGGTAGCCGCCTTGAGTAAGATTTGTATGCAAGAGTCTTGACTTTAGCGGGGTAGAGGATAGGTCGCTGAAGGGGAAGGTGCAGGACATCACCAAATCAAGGGCGTTCACTACTACTGCCTCATGCTAGCTGTCCGCGAAGGTAGAGCTTAACAGCGACCCAATGTCCTCCATCCACTTTTGTTACGAGTATTGAAGGACCAAGGTGTTTCGGAAGCTAAAACAACTCCGGCTAGAATGACCTATTTTTGTCAAAGTGACTTTGCTAAGCGCAAGTCTTAATAGACTACAATTTCTTCTTTTTTTGATATTTTATGTAATTGGGGACTGTAACATCAGATAGCGGTCAGCTTCGTTCACAATTAACTAACTAGAAGAATCAGTGTTTCTGAGGCTGTTGCACCTCCTCCCAATCTCCTGCTCGGTTTGAACGCAATGATGCGCCGGGAGAGCCGCATTGCTACAACTGTTTCCAGGCTTCATGGAGATCCTGGGTCTCAGCACTGTTTGATCATGCTATAGTATTTCTGGAAGTTGAAAGATTTACAATTTTTTTGTGCTGCACGGCGACATAAACGCGATGTTCGAAAGTGCAGCATCGAATGACTTCCTAACTACTTTTTGATTTTCATTCCTATGTTTTGATTCAGCACTGCCTGTTCTATCCGACAATGTATTTGCAATTTGAAGAAGTTAATTTTCCCACGTACCGCAAGGCGTTTTTGCTTTGGAAAAGCCTTGATATGACCTTATATTTATCTTACAAGGGAAGGATAAGTGGTGGCCGGGCCTTTTGGAATATGTTATACATAGAAATGCTTGTCTCGAAATGCTGATCTCGAAACTTTCTTCGTTAGCTGCCGCGCTTATAAAAGCGCTAACGAAAAACAGTGGCACCGACCAAGATCAAACGGCGTTCACTGTGCAATAATCGACAGCGCTGACTACTAGACTATTCGAGACCTCTTTAGCAATTATCGAATTACTCGTACTCTTGTGCAAATACGTTAGATGTGGGAAGACACGTTCCGAAATATCGTTCTGCAGATGAATGCGGTTCTGAGATCAGCGTTTCAAGGCGAATGTCATGACATATGTCACATATCGAAAGGCAACGGCTACCAAGTATCCTCTCCCCATTAGAAGGAGCTTGCTTACGTTGTTGCTAACGTGTTCTTAAAGGCAGTGTCCGGGCAAAAACTCGATTTTGAGATTTTGTGCTTATACGGGCCTATTCGCCATGCTGAATACGAAAATCCACATTGGAAAGCGCGAAAACGGCGAAAAAGGGCTCTAACACAGGAGGGAAATCATCAGGTGGGCGGGGCTTTCCCCAGTGCGATTTCAAACTCCCAGCTCTCGGAGCGATTTTCTCGATTCCGCTAGCCATCCTAACATCGCTACCGGTCAAGTGCGAATGATTGACTTGGGACCGGAAGTGAGTAGGTCGCTCTGGAAGCCGGGAACGTGAATTCGCAATGGGGAGGACTCCGCCCACCTGCTGATTTCCCTCCTGTGTTAGGGCCCTTTTTCGCCATTTTCGCGCTCTAAAATGTGCATTTTCTGATTCAGCGTAGCGAATAGGCCCAGGTAAGCACAAAATCTCAAAATCGAGTTTTTGCCCGGACACTGCCTTTAAGCCATTCGTATACGCTAGCGCGTTTGAAAGTCTACCTCAATTTTGAGTAGATTACTAGTTTTGAATTTTAGTAGCCCCTCTCTTTGAACTGAGAAGCTGATAACGATTTTCAGACTTATCATGCAAAATTTTGAGCAGCTTATTTGAAATCAGTGCTTTCCAGGTTTCAATGCTAGCTATTGCTTTGTTTTTACGTGAGCTTTTGTGTATAATTTTTTGTTTTGAACAGAATCGTTAATCGACACAAAATTTTTAATTTTGAATGACATGTATGTAGATGCAAAAAAATCTATTGGGTTGTCCGGAAAAATAATGTCCGTTTTGAATTTCAACCGCAATAAGTCATACACTTTTCATTCCTGAATAGATTGCAAGGGGTACCATTTGATAGGGCAAAGCAAGCTCTACAAGATGGCTATATTGCTTTAACAACAGCTCTGATCCTCCTCGAGTTTCGTGCCAAAAACTAAAAAGATTCAACTACCCGAAAAATCGAGAAATCATCTCAGTTCATAAGAATCCTGCAAAAATTCTAACTTGCTCACGTAAACACTATCCACATAAGACATGTATGTACGCTATTGCCGTATTTTTTTCTGTCTTAGAAATCGAAAAAAAATGTTCATGCTTTTGCCAAAGCGATGGTGTGTCGTCCCACATAAGTAGATGTGTACTTCAAATCTGTAGAAGTACAAACTTAAATTTTCAGCTCTCTACAAGCTTTAGTTCTCGAGAATTATCGAATATAGCTTTCATTAGTCAGGTGATCCAAACCGAAATTCAAATTCAACTGAAGCTTGTAAAAAGCTGAAAATCCACGTTTTTACTTCTACAGATTTGTAGTATACATCTACTTATGTGGGGACGACACAGCATCAATTTTGCAAAAGTATGAAAATTTTCGTTTTTTCGATTTCTAACAGAGGAAAA